AAAGCCAACTAAAATTATATTATGTTTTTTTAAATCGTATCTTCTCAATAAATAAGTTCAAACTTGCAAAAAAAAAAAGCATAGTTTTGTAAAACTTAGTTAGAACTACAATTTAATGCTTTTTTTTTTGCAAAAATTTAAGTATTCGTTAAGGAGTTACGATTTGGATGTCTTTAAGTGATTTGCACCGTAGGTTTAGTTAGTTGTGTTTTTTTACGCAAACTTACTCGGGAGATACCTGAAAGATAACATAACATTTCATCATAAATTTGGCTACTCGCTAGCTCATATGCTTTTTGTTTCGTAAGTTGTAGTTTATTTTTCAGGATTCCAGGTAAAATTTCACTGTCTTTTTTCAAAAAACTTTCTATATGAATGCCAGCTAGCAATTTCATCTTGTTTAGCTCGCATAATATTAAATTCCGCAAAACAAATTCTTTCGAATAGGTATACTAATTTGATTGTAGGTGATTGGTTATCTGTAGAATTTTTGCCGAAGGCAGTCACACAGTGGCTAAATATAGAGGATCGCTTTTCTGAGGCATCTACATTAACAATTTTAATGGTATCCTCCTTTAAAGGTTTTATATTTAGTTCTTGTATTAAAGGTTTTATATCTATTTCAGGCGTTTTATTTTTTTGCTTTATAGGAAGTTGTTCTAATAAATCAGAGCTATCACCAGAGGTAGTCACAGAGTGGCTAGAGATAGATTGCGATATTGTTGACGATTTCAAATTTTGATCTTTGTATGATAAATTGGATGGTTCTGGTGAATTATTATCCGAAGATAAGTTTTGTTCCCGAAGTTTCTTTTCCCTAATTCTCTCCATTATCTCTTCACTAACACGTTTTTTATGTTTCATTTCTACAAAATCAAGGGTCTCGGCTGAATCATCATCGATAATATCTTGTGCCAAAGAGGTTGTGGATGACTCACCTTTTGTGGGAGTATTATCATGATTTATTTCAGGGTGGTTATGGGATGTAGGGCATTGGCTAACCATATCCTGGTATTAGTGTTGTTAGGCGAAACTTAGAGGTTTCGCAAAAGGCGAAAGTCGAAACTAGTTTCGACTTTCGCCAAAAAAA